ACTTCTTCTTCGCTTGGCCATTGAAGATTTCAGACTGAGAATCGATTTTTGTGTGGTAGAGAAGATGTCTTTTTTGTTTTTTTTTTTTGTGAAGAAGATACACATCAAACGATGATATGGAGAGAGAGAGAGAGAGAGAGAGAGAGAGAGAGAAAAGCAAAAGAATCTGCTTGTTTTATAATTGTGTGTGGAAGAAAAATTATATGGAGAGAGAGAGAGATGCGTGAAATAAAACCTCATTAATTGTGTGTATTAGTGGGTAGTTATAACCCTCCCCAAAATCTGCTGAAAATTCTTCTTGTATTTACAACTTCCTTTAATTAATTGTTGATTTCGTATTTGTGACATAAAGTTTGTCATTTCGTATTTCTAATATTATTTAAGAAATTATTAGTAATGGGTGTAATTTTCTCATTATTTTTCCCAAATAAATGGACCGATCGCTAGCTACAGTAACTATAGCCACAGCATCTACTCACCGGACCAACAATCAAGCCCATGTATCGTATCATCTGTACAAGGCCCATATCTGTACAAGGCCCATTCAGCCGCCAATCCGCCCCATGCTTAATTACAAATTTTACAACTTCTTTTCAAGAAAGTAATAACAAAAAACCCTAAAAGGCCACGTGTCCTTCCCTCCTCGTACTTAGGAGTTAGTTACCCGTTATTACTTCCATTATTTATCTTATTAACCTCTCTCTCTCTCTCTCTCTCTCTCTCTCTCTCTCTCTCTCTCTCTCTCTCTCTCTCTCTCTCTCTCTCTCTCTTTTGTTTGTAGTTTCATGTTAAATAATTCTTCATTAATGTACACAAACCTCTTCACACACATTTCAACATTCCCTCCAAATTATCTACTATTTATAGTAAAACTTTCCTTTAGCTCAACAACACTTCAGTGCATGCCCTTCAATGGCTCTAAGCTACTACTACAACTTTCAAACGCCCGAACTCGAACCCGTGCCCGATTATAACTTCGACCCATTGCCCGATTATTTCTTCGATTTCAACGACGCATTTTCCTTCGAGCCCAACTATTTCGAGTCGCTTTTCTCTCCCGAATACAACAACATCGGCAGCAACAACAACAACAATGTTAACAGTACCACATTCGAATCGAGTTACGACCCTCAAGAAACGCATCCTCCGAAGCGCTACAAGCAAATGTTGTACGACGAGCTTCTCGTCGAACCCGAGCTAAGCGGGCCCCACAGATTCGCAATCCGGGCCGCTAACGATGTTACTGGGCAGCCGCCGTCGGCCCAGAGCGTCACGGCCCGGGAGAGGCGGAGGAGGATAAGCGAGAAGACGCGCGAGCTCGGGAGTCTCGTCCCGGGGGCCCACCGGATGAACACGGCCGAGATGTTTCGGGCCGCGTATAAGTACATCGAGTTTTTGCGGGCCCAAGTCGGGATTCTCGAATTTATGGGCTCATATGAGAAGGTGAACAAAATTATATATATCTCTAGCTAAATGGAGACAAATATAATTTATTATTTTTGTTTATGTGAATTTAATTTTGTTTTGTTTTAGGTGTATGAGAGTCATGAGGAGATGAATGGTCTATTGGGGTCGTGTTTGGTTCAGGAGAAGTTGTACGGTGCGGGAAGGTGCATGGTCCCGAGTGAGTTCGTGCGAGGATTGGCCAATGAGGAGCTGAAGGGTTTTGAGGGAGAAATTGAATTTTTGATTCATGCTAGTCCCGTTTAACGGAACTAACGGTTATAAAACCGGACGGAATGATTTTATAACGGGACCGTAGCATTTCTCCATATTTATTAATAAGGTGTGTGTGTGTGTGTGTTTTTTTTTTTTTTGTTCTTTTTGTTGTTTATTACTTTTGTTGTTTTAGGTTGTTTGCAAAAAAAGGAAATTGATTTATGATGAGTTTATTGAGTAGATGTTCTTGGCAAATTATTATTATTATTATTATTATTATTATTATTATTATTATTATTATTATTATTATTATTATTATTATTATTATTATTATTATTATTATTATTATTATTATTATTATCCATGTGATTTGTAGCTACACTGAATTCGCCAACTGAAAGGACATACTCGAAGGCTTATTAATGTTGTAATTTATTTGTCCAACCAAATTAAAACTGATTTATTATTTTAAAGATTGTTATTTCACTTGAAAAAGTGATTAAAATTTGGAATTTTCTTCATAGAAAATGAATTTATTTTTTGGTTTTCGACTAGTATGAGATTCAATAAAATATTTATTAATTAAAGGTATTGCGATATGAAATAGTAAAATAATTAATATAATTACTGGAATTAAATACAACATCCCCGAAAATAAAGAGTTGATAAACTCTTTGAAACATTCGAGTTCTAAGTTAAAATAAAGTATTTTCTGAATAACGTTGAAATCTTCGGTTGCAAGAATGAAATGAACTGTGTGTGGAATATATTCTTGTGCGATGCAGTATAGTAATTAGGCAGATCGACTCGACGTACTATATGAATAAAAAAAAGCGTACATATACTATGAAATGACATATTTTTGTTCACTATTGTTTATACAAAATGCAAAGAATTAAAACATGAATCCATTATCTAAATGCAACAATTATTATCTTTATGGTTGATATAACCTAATTTGTTGATTTATTTCACTTTCTCAAACTTGAGTGGCAATAAGTAGTAACAAAACATATATTACAAAATGGTGTCCAATTAATGTGAGGATGCTACGGTCCCGTTACGGAACTATTCCGTCGGATTTTGTAACTGTTAGATCAATCTGACGGTTACATGATGATCTAACATGATGATCTAACGGTTACAAATCCCGACGGAATGGTTCCGTAACGGGACTTTCGTATTTCCCCCAAATTTAATGATTGTGTTTTGACCAATTCTTGGCAGCAGACTTGGTTTGACAAGTTAAAAGGGCATAATGGTCGAGTAATAATACGAGTTTGTTGAGCAGAAGAAAATGGGCCTTATTGGGCTACACTGGTTGGAGCATTTTAAGCCACCAGTAGCTAATTTATTGTTTGGGCTTTATTGGGCCCAGAACGGGTGTGCACATGGCAAGCTTTTAAGGTTTCACTGATCAGTCTCACTGGATAAAACGTAGTATTATATAATAAATAGAAATGATCTACTTACAGAAAATAAAAAATGAGATAAATTATAGATTGTACTTGAATATAAATTATAAATGTATTATTGAAGTTTATACATTTAAAATAATAACATATTAATGAATAGTAGCGGATAGTGGAAATTTAGTTAATGAATTACTAGTGATTTTGGTTGGTAAATATGCGTTATTTTTATGTTTAAATTGTTTTGATGAGATTATTGAAAAAAAAATGTAAAATTAAAAAAATGTTACAAATTGTGATATTGTTTTCATAGTAATCACATTTTCAATGTAAAAATTTTGTCAAACTGCCACCAAATAATAATAATAAGTAGTATTATTTTTATTTTTATTTTTAATGTCCTGATAGGCTAAATATCATGCAAAATAAATTTTTCTCCTAATATTATGATAATTAGGTACCAACTATCTCCTAATGGTACAAATTCTCAATTGAATAATAATAAATATACGTCCATTATCTATATAACCCCCAATCAACAACCAGCCAAATTCATTCTCAAACAACATATACAAATCTCATCTCAAATTTCCAAAAAACACAAATTAACTGAATAATCAATCAATAAGTCCTAAGACAACATGAAGAGTAGCATTTCCTTGTCCAGTCTAATTGCCCTATGCCTGGCCTTCTGCATTGCTCGTTCGAGCAATGCAGACGTGCCATGTGGCACAGTGGACACGAAGGCCGCATCTTACATCTTGTACGCAACCGGCAAAGATGCAAAGCCTTCGGCAGCTTGTTGTGTCGGACTGCAACAATTGGCCCATAGTGTAAAAAGAATCGACGATAAAAAAGGCAATTTGTAGGTGTCTCAAGGCCGGAGTTAAGAATTTTGCCGGGGTTCAGGACAAGTTCCTGAGCCAAATCCCGACAGCTTGCAACATCAAAGTTGGTTTTCCTGTCTCTATCACCACCAATTGCCGAAAAGTAAGACATATAGACTGTCGAATTTTATCTTGTATATATAAATCTTTCTATACTTTTATTGTTCATCAAATTGTAATTTAGTGTTTTTAATGTTGATTTTTATTATAAACTTTTTTTTTTTCAGGCTACATTGAGAGACGATTTGGACTCGTTTGACCGATTTGATTTGGACTCGATTTGAAGACTTGTTTCAACGTTAACTAAATAGCAACTTCGCTTAATAAGACTTGCATTGTACTCTATGGATAATTGTACATTATAACTATTTTGTTCCGAAAAAAGAGTTGCAATAATAATAATGATAAAAATAAATATGTTTTATCATTACAAGTTGTCATGTGTTTACATATAGAAAGTTGCAAGCAATTAATCCAACTCATGTATATCAATCAAAGGATGAAAATAAAACAAGTCATAAATAGAATATTTCATAAAATTTCCGTTTACACTAGGGGTGCAAACGAGTCGTGAGTCGCTCGCGAGCGCTCGAGACAAAGCTAGACTCGAGCTCTAGCCTGACCGAACTCGAGTCGAGCTCGAGCGGCTCGAGCACGTACTCAAGTCGAGCTCGAGCCCATATTTTGCTTTGTCAAGCAGCTCGTCGAGCGGCTTGAGATATACATTAATTACTAAAATACCCCTTATTATATATATATATATATATTAGCATAGGTGCTTAATGGTAATTTTACCTAATTTTCGAGCCGAACTCGAACCGAGCTCGAGCATTTTGATTTCGAGTCGAGCTCGAGCCTAAAAAGTCGAGCTCGAGCTAAAAAAACTCAATCCTGCTCGATAAGACCAATGCTCGACTCGGCTTGGCTCGTTTGCAGCCCTAGATTACACAATACAACTATTGGTCAGGCAATTATACATAACAAGAAAGATTCTACTAATTAATTTCTCTCAGCGCTTAAACAAAAAGAAAATCATCTGTCACATTCTCATATAAAGCTTTTTTGAGTCAGGTCGTAACTAACTAACTGTCAATACTTTGGATCCAACCGCTTCTTTATGTTTTTCGTTGTCGATTTTTTCGCACAAATGAGACAGATCGGAATTGATTTAGCGAAAGTTAAAGGTCACAGATGCAATCGGAAAACATAAACATTCTTTTTTTTATCGGTCATTGAATCATTTAGTGCAAAGTTAAAGGTCACAGATGCAAAGGTGGTAAAGCTGATGTCTTGATAGTATTGAGAATTGATTGTTGACTTGTTGTAGTTACTATTCCAAATCAAACAGGCACTAGACGAATCATATCTTGATATGTTTACAATTTGACGAAGTGTAATATCAAAATTCCGGTTCTGTTAGATTCTTTAAGCTACGTTTCGATCAACAGATATTCAATGTCTTGGCAATTAACAATAGTTTAGTGATATATATTCACAAGTATCAACGTCAAACATTATTACTTCATCAATCGGATTCTGTCATGCCTTTCACTTTCCTAATTTCTTTACTTCTCTAAGATTCATGCACTGAAACGTGTTCGCATAGGTGGTTTCAGGCTTCCAACCGATCTCGCGCAAGTTTTTTATATGCATTTTCGATATTTTTATAATTTTGTGTTTATAGACGCTTACTCTCTCCATTATTTTCACCTTGAAGAGCTTCACAAAAGTATAAAGCACTTCTGTTTTGTCCTCCTTGGGTGTTTTTTTTTTTTTTTTTTTTTTTTTTTTTTTTTTTTTTTTTTTTTTTTTTTTGCTTCTTTCGCTCTCCTTCTCGTCGAACAAACACAATCATGCACTTCTCCTAATCATAAATTTATTTAAAAGTTATGTTACCTAAAGTAGATTTCATCATATTTATGGGACCTATAAATATAACTCCTCCTTTCCCTTTACATTACTTTCTTATCTTCGACAGGCTAGGGAAGCATATTGAACGAACTTCGGCTAATCTGAGGGTACTAGGTTTGAAAAGTTGAGAAAGTCGATCCTGAATTCATGGCCATAAATCACAAGGCTCTTTAAAATGCTCGATTTGAATGAAATAACATGTCTTTAGTGAAATACTTATTTGTCCCGACCGACCAAGGATAGAGAAGTTGAACTCAAGAGACTCGGAGACTCTGAGTCGACAATGAACTCTGGGGAGAGAATGGAGTTTGGTTGCATTTTTTCAGAATGCATAACTTGTCACTCAAGTACACAAATGTTGTATTGCAATTGCAAGTATATGTCTTATTTAGAGGAATCTGTGAACCTTATAATTGCAACCATTGTGGTCTGTATAGCTCGATGCAAGTTTGGTTGTTCATTGTTTTCTTTTTTTTTTTAAGTTTTGGCATCTCAAAAAGAATGGCTTTATGAGATTTTTATTGTTAATTATGTTGGCTTTATAAGATTATTATTGCTTGAGCATGGTCATTTCTAACTAAGGTCTTAAATCTTCACCTGCCAGCACTTTCTTTGGTAAACTCTTACTCTCCACGGTCCTCTTCGAATTGCGTTTTTTCCTCTTCGAATTGCGTTTTTTATTTTCGTCCCGTATATTTTGCAATAATATTATCATCATCACAACAAAAAGATCATTTATGTTTTGCAAAAAAAAGTTTCATTTTCGTCCGAGACAGGCCTTTTTGTAACCTTTTTTACAAACATACAGGACGAATATCAAAAACGCAATTCGAAGAGGACAAATGTGTTTTGGTAGTAAAACATACAGGACTAAAAATGCATTTTTTTTTCTTACTGTCTAGAACAACATTCAAGAATGGCTGGCACATTTTTTTTTTTTTTCCTCATCAGCTCGAAAACTAAGAAGAAATACAGTGATTCTTCAATATTTTTCGAGATAAAAAGATACACACGGGCAAGATTGAAATCAATATTTCATAAAATTTATCAGCATACAAATGCAAATAACCAGAAAAAGTAAAAGAAAAAAAATCACAAATTCACCCAACACAATACACAATACCCAGTTTCTTTCTGGCGCCGTACGACTGATCACACAATACGGCAATATTAAATCATAGCCACAATATGCACAAAGTATCTCTATAATAGAGTTGAAGCCAAGATAAGCCGAATAGCTGATCTCATTTTAACTTCTTCATGTTGTGACACCCACAACAACATTGCTCACCTGTGTCGATAATAACCCCCATCAAGCTTTTATCTTCCGAAAACAAGATAATAAACAAGATAGCCATGTTGCGAAAAAAAAAGCTAAGTGTGAAAAGCTAAGGGCGTGATTGGCTACAGATTGAAACTGATTTTGACTGATCGGATAATTTTTTACACTCTTTAACTCAAAAATCAACTCAAATTTAATTGAACACAACTCTCCTCAATATTATCAATATAATTAAATAATAACAATCGATCATCCTCACACATCAAAACAAATCAGCTTTAATTCATTATTCATTCACTCACATATTTTTAACTGAAATGATAACTTATCTCCTAATTTTACATCAAATTAAATAAAAACTTAAAATCTCACTCAATCCTCCACTAAATCAACTTTATTTAAAATTATCACTCAATCCTCCACTAAATTTTAAAAATAATTTAACTTTAACTCAAAATACAATCAAAACCGATTTTGATGTACATCCAATCGCCCCCTAAATGATCGAGTAAATTAATGCCAAGGCAAAGAAAGAACTTACCAACTTTCCACTTTCATCAACGGTCATGGGGTTCTGCACGACAACCGTCTGATTATTAGAATGGGCCGTTGCCTGTAAACAAAACAAAAAGGAAAAAAAAAAAAGTTGGAATACATTTAGTCGTATATAATTTCCGTACGTATGCAGAAGATAACAAGCTGACCGTTGAATTAGGTTGTGTTGCGGCAGAAGTAGAGTTTTCGACCGGTCTTTGTAAAGGAATGGGAACTCTCGTGTTTTCCCCCATCTGCACAAAAACGTTCAAGTTGTGCAGTAAAAAAGCGTGACAGCTCAAAACCCACCATATATTAAAGAAAAAATTAAAGAGGTTTTACTATAATTTATAGACTCGAAATCATTTTCATGTCAGCACCACATTTACCAGAACTAACAGTATCACTCTATCCTAATATTTTAAGTTCTTGCTCTAATTTTTAACTATATGCTTTGAGTGAAAAATTAGCTACATAATACAAGTGATTTTAGAGTTGATCATGCTGCAATAGGCACCACTAAATATCAAGACCAAAACCTTATCCTCTTAAGCAAAAATACCACAGAAAATTACTTAGCATCAATGGATTAACATTTAGTAATAAGAAAGAAAAAAAAAAATAAAAAAGAAACACAAAAAAGCTACGTACATTAACATTTGTGATGAAGTGACAAATTGCACATTTTACAGACGGAGCCCCGGCAGGATACATGAGCATAGTATGGCAGTTTCCACAGTTGACATGAGCAACATTATTAGGGGGAGCTACTGCTGGTGCACCTGCACCAGCACCTACATGATTTAATTAAGCATTAATTAAGGTTAAAAAGGTACAATCATATCAAGCACGGATTTTTTCAGGCGTGAAAAGAAAAAAAAAAAAAAAAGAACGCAGTGAAATTTACCCGGCACAAGGTTCACCGTGTGGCAGCACGAACATCTCACACTAGTCGCCCCACGAGCATGCATGAGCAACGTACGGCAACCACCACATATCAACTGAGCCATTTCCATCCCTGCAAATTGTATAAAATCCATTCACAGCTGCCAGTAAAGGTTGTGTTTGGTAAACACATAAGCTAGCTTATAAGCATCCTGTTCAAATAAGTTTGGTTTGGTAGGACTAGCTTTTTTACAAAGTTCGAGCTCTTCTTATCAGCTAATTTTACCAGACACTTTTATGATATGAGCTAGCTTTTCCGCGAGCTATCAACTATAAGCTCAAAATTCACTTAAAACCTATAAGCTAACTTATCAACTATATAAGTCACCAAACATAGCCTAAATATACAAAGGCCAAAGTCATGAAAAATGCACGATGCCGTTTTTTAACTCTAAAAGAAAAGAGAAGAAAAGAAAGTACCAAACAACATGATGCTATACAAAGAGGCACGAAGAATATACAGATTATTTGAGCCGAACAAACCCATCCAACCATAATGGAAACACAGTTGTTAGACAGTAACCCATTGACTCGACTCAAACTTATAAAACCTTTAAATTCTCCTAGAGTTCACGGTGGGAAAGAATAATACACTGATAAGATGCGAAGGAT